TTGCCAGGCAGGCACTGTGCCACTGATCTATTATCTCAAGCTCTAATAGGTTAATTTTTAATTGACACAGATCTCACTTTAACTTGTTCTTAAACATGCAACAGAAATGAAAAAGGAAAAAAAGAATGAAAGGGAAAGATGGAAACAAAGCTTGTGTAAATGGAGAGGTGAAGGACTAATGGCAAGGCAAGGGAATGAGAAAAAGAATTGAGATGTGCTATGTACAAGTACAAATTCCCTATGATGGATATGATCAGTATGTATGACAAGTATATACTAATAAAAAGAATAAAGTAAAAAAAACAGCAGAAAAGTGTAACCAATAAGATATATAAAACTTAATAGTGATTTAGGCTAGATGTATGGGAGGGGGTGTCCAATTACCACACTGGCCCCTGCTAACAGTCTTCAGCTATACCTTTCGCTTGTTGCTATTATGGTTCAATGAGCCTAAAAAGCCACAGCAAAAGCCATTATAAAAGCTCAACAAAAATCTTTTAATTCCTTACCTAAAAATTGTCTTTTAAAAGCACAGCGCCCTGAGTCTTCTTATTGCTAAAACTAAAAAATCTTGTGTTGTTTTAAATTTACATCAGATAAAAAAGATCTTAAAAAAATCAAACTTACAGATAATCTCCTAACTTCCAAGAAAGGGGAAGCTATATGGGCTATGTGTATTTCTAAAAGAAAAATGTTGCTTTTATGCCAACTAGTCTAAAATAGAACCAGAGGGCCGGGGATTTAGCTCAGCAGCATAAGCACCTTGCAAGTGGATGGTCATGAGTTCGATCCCTGGTACCTAAATAAATAAATAAAATAGAAGAGGGCATGATGATACTCGCCTATAATTCCAGCACTTAGGAGGTTGAGGCAGGATTGTTGCAAGTTCAAGATCAACCTGACTACAAAGTGAGTTCAAGGCCAGCACGAACTGCATAGTAATGTTGCAGGCAGCTGAGTTAGTTAGAAATATTATAGGTAGTCAGACAGGTCCTCAACAGAGCCAGTGCAGAAGTCCAGATACCTTGTAACTGTGAAGGAGACAGATACCTCCTGCTGTAGGCCAAGCCTCAAGGCAAAATATTAAACAAATGCACCCATATCCTAAGGACTGATATTCTAAATAGTTCCCTATCACCCTGAGAAGCCAGGAGTCACCATTCCAACCCACTAGGGAAGAGTCACTGCTCTCTAAGAATGCACGCTTTCTATGTGACTTGCTTCCCCATCTGTCCTTGATTTAATTAATTTTACCTGAACTATTAATCTTACTGGTTAACCATAGTTCTGTCCCCCCTTATGTCCATCTGCCTTGTAAGTTCCCAGTTTTCCCCCACCTTGAACCCGTGTCACCCCATGATTTTGCTCTGTAAAAATCCCTGGAAAAGACAGAGTCCTTTGCAACCTGCTCGGGACCCCTTCTGTCTCTCTCGGAGAAAAACTTTCTTTCTCTCAATAAATATATTCTACTCTTAATGTCCGTTGTTCCTAAAATTCGTTCTTCGATTTTAGAGAACTTGAACTCGCACTGGATATAGTAGGTCGAGTTTCAGGAGCTGGAGGTTTAGCTCAGTGGCATAAGCACCTGCCTTGCAAGCAGGCAGTCATGAGTTCGATCTCTGGTACCGATAAAAAGGAAAAAGACAAAAAAAAAATGTGACTATATCAGTGAGACCTTGTCTCAAAAAAACAAATAAAAGTGAGAGATATAGCACATAAACATAAAACTCTAAAATCAAACTGCCTCAATTGACATCTGAGACCCACTCTGTGGTAACTATATGATGCTCAGCAACTTACCTACAGTGGCCCTTTGGAATCCAAGGGTGACTGTTTCCAGGACCTTTGCAAATACTAAAATCTATAGGTATTCAAGTCCCTTGTGTAAAATGGTATGGTATTTGCACATAACCTATATACCTTAAACTACTTCTAAGACCTAAGGCAATGTAAAACATTGTTATACTACATCATTTAGAGGACAGTAACAAAAATAAGTTTGTTAACTAAAGAGACAATTATTTTTCAGATATTTTCAATCTATGGTTGGTCACATCTGGGATGTGGAACCTGTAAATGTTCAATGTTAAAGCTATGGATGGCCTGGCATGGTAGCCCACACCTGTAATGCCAACACTGAGGAGGCTGAGGCAGAACTGCTGTGAGTTAAGAGGCCATCCTGGGCTACATAGTGAGCTCAAGGCCAGCATGAACTACAGAGTGAGACCCTGTCTCAACAAAACAAAAACAAAAACAAAACAATAAAAACAAAAATCTATAGATGCTGATACAAATAGATTCTCTGACAGGCACTTCTCCTGACCTCTCCCCTTAAATAGACTTCACTAGTAGTGGTCCCTGACTGCTGCATTGTCAGCACCTCCTCAGCAAAGAAGCCAGGCATGGTGATGCACGCCTATCATCCCAGCACTCGGAAGGCTGAGGCAAAAGGAACGCAGCAAGTTTTAGGCCAGCCTGGGAAACATAGTAAGTTCAAGGGCAGTCTGAACTATATAATGAGACTGTCTCAAGAAAAAAAAAAAAAAAACGTTAGCCTGCGCCCACTAACAGCAATCACAGATCACCGTGGGGATTATAAGAAAAAAAAAAAAGGATAAAGGGAAAGGCCTGAGAAAAACCAAATAAACCAAGTACAGTGGTATTGTAGCACATACTTTTGTTTGCAAACAGAAGCATTTGGCAAAATTTTTTGCCTCTTACTCCCCGCATCTAGTGAGGGCTTTTATTTAATAAACCACACATCTGGCTGTTCCTGCACTACTTACTGTTCTGTTGTGGCCTTCTGTGCCACCTCAGCACAAGAACCCAGAGGGGAAGAGAGCTGGTTATATATCATCAATAACCTATTTAAATTTCAGTTTCTTTTCAAACTTCTATCTGTAATATTGTCTAATATATGTAAGAATAACTGTGTAAATACACACTTTACAAGTTACTTTATTTAGAGACAAAGTCTTGCTAAAGTTGCTAAATTGCTCGAGCTAGGCTCAACATCACATTCCTGCCTCACCCAGGGTATGGGGCTATAGGTGTGTGCCACCAAGCTTGGCTACAAGTTACTTCTATATGTGTATGTGACATAGAAAATAGTATTTAGACACCACAGTCCCAAGTACTTAGAATGCAGAGAGCCAGAGAGTGAGAGAATAGAACAGAGATATGAAGGGACGGAGCAACAGATGGGAAGGAGGAGAGAGGACTCAAAGAAACATTTCATCTTTGTCCTTGTTCTGAGCATACTGTTATTCAAAACACTTGTTACCTTCTGCGTGAGATCTTTTATGTGCTGATGAGATGACTAGTAGATGGAAGCCCCTAGGCAGCTTCGGAAAGGGGATTGGTAGTTGGAAGGCCAGGCTGGATGAGAGGGCTGGTACATTCAGCCCCACTTTCCAACTGTGGGCAGGAGACTGAGTTAATCCCAGAGGTGACTATGTACTCAATCATGGCTACTTACTGAAACCCCATAAAAACTAAACAATGGAGTTGGACCATTTTACACATGGGATGTGGGAGGGTGGTATATCCACATGGATACTCTGTACACCCTCCCCTGTATCTTGCCCTAAGCATTCCTTCCATTTAACCATTCTAGACCTATATATTTTTATACTAAAGTGTAATAATAAGCATTAACTCCTCCCTCCAAAAAAAGAGAGGCCATATTACATATACTGATATGGACTACTTTCCAAGACATATTATTAGGTGAAAAAAGCAAATGAAGACAATGTGGGAAGAGTTCTACTGTTATGCTCTATGCTTATTGCCCTAGTAACCAAGTACCTAGAGCACCGACCACATTGTTATAAATTAACTGACCGCCTTGTCATGCTGTTCTGTATGCATCGTTCTCCCCCACCCCAGTAACCTGTGTGCTATGTCAACCTTTGCTCCCCCTTGTAAGACACAAATGATGTTATGTCAACCATTGTTCCCTTTATGAGAGACAAATGTTCCTGGAATTGGCAGACCAAGTGCTATGAATTGGCTAACCACCCATTGGCTAACCACCCTCAAGCAAAGGGCAACAAAGGCCCACCTTGTTTCTGTTTCTCAGCACTATGTACTTAATGACCAATGAGCTAATCATAAATGAACTATAAAAATCTGTCAAAATTCTGACTCAGTTGCACAGCTTTGCAAATTCCCTCTGCATTGTGTTGCTGGGCCAGCTAAAATAAAAGCGCTTCTTTTAAAAATATGTCATCTTGTCCTGTTTTTCATCTGGGGGGGTCTTGCCCCATTTTTCATCTCGAGGGGCCTTTTTTGGGGGGAGTACAATATCTACTCAGAATAGAACTAATTTCCATGCATAGAATAACTCGGTAGGATTTCAGAAGACAAATGATAAAAGCAATCACTCTGAAGAGGAAGTGGCTTTTGGATCAGAATAAAAGGAACACTTAATGAGGAGGGAAGGAGGGATTGAAAGAGGAATGGAAAAAAATCCATACTATGTCATATACAGGTACAAAATCTCTATGATGAGTATGATGACTATGCATATCTAAAATATCCAATAAAATCTGATTTAAAAAACAATTTTCACTGAGTAGCACCCCTTTTTAAAATCATGTTCCTTTACAAAAATAAAATTTTATGAAAAAGGATCTACAGATTTAAATCTAAAGGTATCTATAACGTATTAAGAATAAAAAGTTGCAAAGTATAATCTGTGTGCAATATAATCCCATTATGTTTAGACATTAAATAAAACCAAGAAATGTGGATTAAAAAATAGACTTAATAATAAGCAAGCTATTTTCCAGAGTTCTGTGAGCTGACCTAGCAAATTATCAAACTGGGAGGATGGTCTTTGAACCTGAATTGTGGCCATCAGAAGGGTGGGTTACTGGGAACAAATACTTGCCAGTATCTGAAGGGAAGGCAATCTTATGTAACTATTACCAGATGGAAGGTCTCCTGGTAATTATTCCCAGGTTCTTGGTGTCCTAAACAAAGAATTGGACAAGAGACACAAAATAATGCACATTTATTGAAGGTAGAAGAGTTACCCTCTGCAGGGAACAAGCAGACTGGTGACCAGAATCAGAGACTCTGAGGATAAGGGAAAAGGTCTTATATCCAAAATTCCTAGATTGGCTTCTCTTGCATGCAAATAAAGCATTTGATAATTGCCCTATCAAAAAATCAATTGGGCCAGATGTGGTGGTACACACCTATAAACTCAGAGGCTGAGGCAGGACTGCTACTTTTGAGTCCAGCCTGAGCTCCACAGTGAAACCCTGTATCAAAATGAAACAACCTTGCTTGCCCTGAAACCAAATTTAAGCTGCCCTATCAAAAGACTGGCTTGGTTTCTCACCAGGACTGAAAACACTACTGATCGGTACATGCATGGTACTTAGGAGCTATGGAGTCATTGAGGGTCTTACGTTCTGTACATCCTTCTGGATTTTTTCTGACATATTCCACTAAGTTGTCTGGTTTGCCTCAGCCCTTTTCTAAGGACGGAGCCCTAAAACCTGTGGAGTCTTATGCTAATGCTGGTATATTAAATTTTCATTACTGAGACAAAATACCCCAAACCCACAAATTAAAGGATAAAGGACTTATTTTAGCTCACAGTTTGTAGATGTTTCAGTCCATAGTGGGCTGGCTCCAAGGCAGTGTGTCATGGCACAAGAGAAAGTTTAGGGCATGGCAGACAGGAACATGTCAGGTTTTCTTCTTTGTTCCTTTTAATTCCATCTAGGCCAAATAAACCTATTGGTTGGAGTCACTCACAGCCAGAGCAGGTCTTATGTTTTCAGTAAATCCATCAGCCACACGAAGTACTGGGCTAAACCAATCAGTAGACTGATCCAATATCACATACTCATGATCTAGTCACTACCAAAAGACCCTCTATGAGTACATGAAAATTTGGGGGCACTTTGGATAAGCCATAACAGCAGGATAGTGTCAGTACTAAATTGTAGGACACTGGCAAGTGTCACAGAGAATTAGAGAATTGCTTCGTGTGAAAAATCTCCACACATTTGGTGTCAGAAGCATTTAGAGTAAAAATAGCTGTATATTATAGTGACTTTTCTTCAGATAATATAAGGTTAAAAATCTTTTTTTACCTTATTGTATCACCATGGGCAGGTCAGTCTCACTGAACCTTAGAAGTTTCCTAAAATGGAAAATGAAAAGTCTACTCTCCATCTTAAAAGAATTATGGCAAGGATTAAATGAGAAGCCCTTATAAAGTACCCCCAATCCAAAGTATATACTTGATAAACAATCCTCCTTTTCTGGCAACAGAATATAGAGTGCTATGCTGCACTGAATGTTTCCGACTGCAAATCAAGCTCCTTTCCTGTATACAACCCAAAGACAGAATGTGACAGTGTGTGTCAAAACAGACATGCAGATAGCTAGTTTGGAGAAGAGAAGAAATGTTTAATGGTGAGTGAGGAATGGACTAATGGTCAGCAAAGTGACTGTGGGCAGGTAATCAGAGAATGAAAGCTAGCACAGTTACTTTCTGTGTTAAAGTGAAAGCATAAGCCTTAATGGGGACGTTTTCGATTTTAAATGCAATACAAACTCTGGCCTAAACTAAACAGGTTTCCATATGCTTTTTCCAGAATCACCACAGTTAAAGAAAGTAAATGGAAATCACTAGAGAAAAGTAACTTTAATTTTCTTATCTGAATTGTGATATACAAAGGTAATTTCTTTCAGAGTAAACAGCCAGAATAACTTTACAATAAACTTCAGGTCTGGCATGGTGGTGTGTATATATATAAAATCCCAGCATTCTGAGAGGATAGGGCAAGAAGATCACAAGTTCAAGCCCTGGACAATACAGGGACTTACCAAGACCCTTTCTCAACATAAAAAAAAATGAGTTCAAATCCTAATACTACCAAAACAACACAAACCACAGTGCTCTTTAAGTTTAGAGTATGTCTAAAAGAAAACAGTAATATTCCAGTGAAGAAATATTAACCTGATGCTCAGAAAACAATATGTTGGGGTACGGGGAATAGGAGGCAGAACTTGCTTTATGAGATTTCTCTTGCTTAAGGAAACAAAAATTGACTCACTCAGTTCTACTTTAAAAACTAAATAAACACATGGGCATGGTACACACCTAATAATGACAGCACTCAGTCAACTAACTAAATCAAGGTTTGTGAGTCATGGCCAGTCTTGGCTATCAAAAAAAAACATGAACAAAACCCCAACAAATAAAATTACAATATTTTCAAGTGTTGTTAAGTTGCTTATACAAACTCAAAGTCCAACAAATAAAATTACAATATTTTCAAGTGTTGTTAAGTTGCTTATACAAACTCAAAGTCATGAGCATGACTTCAGGATCAGAACTTTTTATGTCAAGGGCTTTAACTAGGCAGTTTAAGGCCTCCTGTATTTTTCCACACTCTTTCAGTTCTTTTCCTCTAGTTACAAGAGTCTCATAGTCATTTTCAGCCTCAATTGCCTTATCCTGGGGAGAATTAACCATGGGTCCAACAGACAAAGGGTCAGGGTCACCAGAAGAGGTATGCAGGCTAAAACCTAGTGACTCAGACATAGTTGGCCCAAATGACTTATTTTCTGAAGACAGCTTTTCTCCAGAAGGAGCTTCTGTATTCTCTGAAGCTTTATCACTGCTTTCTTCTGCTTCTTCTTCCACATCATCTTCTGTGCCCTCTGCTTTAGTGCTATTGTCAAGTCTTTCCTCCATATCTTCCACATGATCTAAAACCACATTAATCAAAGATCGCCTAGAAGCCAGAGATCTCCTAGGGTTTATAGACTGATTTACACTTTCAGGTATTTTAGGTGAAAATCTAGGTAAACTGTCATCTTTGGGAGTAGAAGCATCAAATTGTTTCTCTGAGAATTGAAAGAGAGACATATTGAATGGACTTATGCTTGAAGTACCTTTAAAAGAAGCATCCTCATCTTCATTATCTGAAACAATCTTTCTAGCTTTGTTTCTGTTTTTAACACGAACTATCACTTCTTCTGTGTCACTGTCTTCCTTAGAAAAATCCAAACTGAGACATGCTTTGCTGTGCACAGACTCTGTCCTAGAATTAGCTGCAGAGCCATACGAGCTATTTTCTTTCTCAACATACTCCAAAGACTGAGTGGACAGATTTTGTATATTGTCCGCAGAGTCTTCCAGGAAAAGATTGAAGTCACATGCATATTGAGGTGAAGATGCTAAAGGTTCCTCTTCTGACTTGGCTTCATTTGCTTGGGGACCCTGTAGTACACTATGAGATGTTGATGATTCATCAGATACTTCAATAACAGATACATTTGATTTTGTGTTTTCATTTTCATTTGTTATGGGATTGCTGGGCCAGGGATTGCAATGATGTAAAATCTCATCATCTTGTAGATCTAAACTTGGTGCAAGACCAGCTTTGACTGATTGGCTAGCTAAATAATCAAAACTTCTCAGGGGATTCTCTTGCAGTGTCTCTTGCTCAGGCGGTTGTTGTAGTACTTTTTGCAGATCTTCATGTTCAACTGCAAAACTTTTTGCGGTTTCTTGCAAAGAGGCAGTCCAGAGTTCTTCAATACTCCCAAACTCCTTGGGTAAAGTAGCTACAGAGTCAGTATGAAATGTATTTTCATATGAGTGCATACCATCTTGTAGCACGGTCATGTGTGTTTTTATGCTGGAGAGTTCTTGATCATCAATGCTTACATTTGCCATTTGAAAACTGATAGCTTCTTCCTGTGTAGGATGAATAGTTATAAGAGGTGAAGACCAAAGCTGTTGTTTCTTTAATGTAGGGCATTTCTTTTTTATTTGAGAAGATAACAGAAGTGCTGGTGGCCACACTCCCTCACTTCCCATTCTTTGTTTTTCCAACGTATTTTGAGACTCAGATTCAACAAGGAATTGAGCTTTCTGAACTCTTTGTTGAATATACTGAGATTCTTGTATCACATCAAGCTCTTCTTTAACAGACAGGTCACATGTGTATATCAAATCATGGTCTGAGATTCCAGCTATTCCTAGAGAGTGTAGGTAGACAATGTGTTCATCTAGGGTCTTATCAGAGCTCCTCTGAGCAGCATGCAGAGACTGAAGCTGCAACTGAGTTGCAGATTTCTGGAGATCCTCAATCATGAACAGCTCTCTTAACTCTTGTTTACTGAAATAGCGAAATGGGTTCTTCTTATCACCAGTAGTTTGTCTGATTAATGAGCCCTTGAAAACCTGTCTTCTGTATATTTTTTCTTCTACAGTCCCACAAGTGATTAGCCTATAAACCACAACATTTTCTTTTTGCCCAATTCTGTAAACTCTATCCACAGCTTGAGCATCAGTTGCAGGGTTCCAGCTAGGGTCAAAAATGACCACTCTAGTTGCTGCAGTTAATGTTAAGCCAACACCACCTACTTGAGTGGTAAGCAGAAAAACAGAATAATCTTTATTTTGCTGGAATAAGTTAATCCTTTTTTCTCGTTCCAAAAGATGAGTGACTGTGCCATCAATTCGCAATATCTTAAAATGCTTATTCCTTAAGAGGCGTTCAATGATGTTTAGAATTTGTCTTGATTGAGAAAATACCAGAGTTTGATGCCCTTCATCTCGCAGTCTCTTCAGCAGGTCTATTAAGAATATCATCTTTCCAGATTCTTCCATCAGTGTATCATCAGTTACATGAGAAATGTCATCTATACCTAAGGAATTTTCTTTATTTTCATCTTGAGCAGAAGTTTTAGCAGTCTCTAGATGCAGCAAATGACAAGCCCGTGTAGACAGCAGCCTAGGATGATCACACAGCTTCTTTAAGACTCCTATTTCAGCCAAAGGTGAACATGTCTCCTTTAACAACTCCTTGATGTGATCTAAAGACACAAATTTCCTGTATATTTCTACTTGCAATGGTACAAGACGTATCCAAATGATTAATTCATTTTTCCTAGAAAGAGAAGGCATTTCACAGATGGCATCAACACCCGAATTCACTTCAGTATATCTGACCTCTGAGATGTCTGATTTTTTCTTCTGCACTACTTCTTTAGTCCTCCTGAGAAAATAGGGTTTTATGATTTCCATCAAGTTTTCAGATATCTTAAGTCCCAAGGCTCTTTCTCCTGGAGTAGCATCCTTCTCTCTTGCTCTAACAATAGGATTTTCATACTCCATTTTAAAAGTTTTTAATGTTCCTAGCAGGGATCCTTGGCAAGCAAAATCAAATAGGGACCATAGCTCTTGTAAATTATTCTGGATTGGAGTTCCAGTAAGGAGGAGGCGATTACGTGCAGGGACAGCACGAACACATATTGCCGATTTAGTAGATGAACTCTTTATCTTATGTGCTTCATCAAGGATGACATAGTCCCACACAAATGCTTGGCCATTAAAGCTTGAAAGCTGTTGCCAATTGTTGATTAACATTTGGTATGTAGTGATAATGACGCCATTCTTTTGTTGAACCCGGTTGAGGCTTCTAGTACGTTCATTCTTGCTAGGGCCATGAAAGGTTTTGACTCTGATTCCTGGGGTCCACTTGGAAAATTCTTTCATCCACATGCTGATGAGATTGGTTGGCATGATTAATAGCACATGATGCACCAGTGAAGCATCAAACATACCAGAAAGGAAAGCAATGATTTGAACAGTCTTCCCTAATCCCATATCATCTGCCAAGATACCTCCCTTTCTTTCATCCCTGTATAGACTATAGAGGAAAGCTATACCTTCCTTCTGGTGCTCAAACAGTTGGTTGTACAGTTCTCGATAAAGTAGCAGGCCAGAGTTGCACACATCTGTAAATTCATCATCATCTTCATGTTTTTCCAACTCCTCCAAGGCTTCCTGTAGCTTTTGAATTCTGCTCATCAGCTTTTTATTGGGAAAAATGTCCTTTGCCAAATTGAAAAGCTTAAGTGCTTCCTCCAGATCTCCATTCTTAGTTGCTTCTTTGGCTTCTTTCACATATCTACAAAAAAAGACAAAAATGGATAACAAGTCAGTGTCTCCCGAGATCCAGCCATGGTGGTTAGGGGGCTGAGCAAGAAAGCAACACGAACACGCTCTCCTTTTTGGTAATGGGCAGCGGCAGCGTGAGTGAGCAGTGGGTGCACCAGAGAACAAGTCAGTGTCTCCCAAGATCCCACCATGTTGGCACTTAGGGGGCTGAGCAAGAAAGCAACACGCCCTCCTTCCGGGTAAGTGGCGATGGCATAAGCGAACGGTGGGCGCACCAGAAGAGAACAAGTCAGCATCTCCCAAGATCCAGCCGTGGTGGAACTTACGAGGGCTGAGCAAGAAAGCAAAGTACCCTCCTTCCTGGTAAGCGGCAGTGGCGGCACAAGTGAGCAGCGGGCGTGCCAGGAAGAGAACAAGTCAGTGTCTCCTGTGAGTCTACTGGCACTCAGGCTGAGACTCAAACATCCCATTCCCCCATTCGCCCCTCCCCCAGTTAGCAACTGATGGTGTCCAGGACTGCTGGAGTTGATAGCAACTAAGGCACATAAAGCAACTAAATGCTTGTATTATTGGGTTGATTAGGCTGACCTGGGCCAAAGGTCTGAGCATCTCTTGGGAGGATGACTGTAAGCAATGTAGCAAATATGGGGGATTTCCTTCTATTTTGTCTTTGAAGGCAAATACTGTTTTCAGTTGTGCTTTGTTCTGATTAACTGTTTTGCTCATTCAATATTCTGTTTTGCTAGGTTTATTAATGTTTTGTTTTTGGTTTGATTTTGCTATACCTGATTGAATAGACAACTATTGTGAAGATAATGAGATATACTATGATACCTATTACTGTTATCCCAGTATCATGCTGTGAAGTTCTGTACCAATTTCACTGCATTGTCTTGATTGGCTTTGTTCTGTCATGTTCTGTTGTATTTTACTACCTTCAAAAAAAGGTAAAATATATACACACAACATTGAAAGGAAATAGACTGAACAGTCAGACTAAGAAAGTTTAGAGTCCATTTCAGAATCTAAACTATAGCTGGGCTTTTAATATCTTCAATTCTGGATAAGATAGGTTAACACAGAAAATGCCACAAGAAAGCCATCATACTTAAAGAATTCTCCAAACTTAATAGAAAAACCATAGAATCTAGTTAGACGATAGGCAAAAGACATGCACAGAAATTTCACTCAAGAGGCTATACAGATGGCATATAAATACATGAAAAGATCACCAACATCACTTAACTATCAAGGAAGTGTCAATTAAAACCACAGTAAGCTGGGCATGGTGGCACACAACTGTAATCCCAGCATATGGGAAGCTAAGGCAGGAGGATCTTTGAGTTTGAGCCCACCTCAGCTATATAGTGAGACCTTGCTTCTAAAATCATAAAGAGAGTTTGGAGCATATATTGCCAGGTATGGTAGTGTACACCTATAATCCCAGCACTTAGGAAGCTGAGTCAGGAGGATTGCTGGGAATTCAAGGTCAGTATGGGTTACATTATGACATCTTGTCTCAAAAAACAAAATATGGAGCACATAAATCCTATTCTGTAAATGTGGGCGGCACACAGTGACATCCTAACAAAGAGCACAGTGTGGTTCAGTTGGATGGAAAAGTAACTTTATATTGAAGAAACCTGGCAAAACAGTACCTCAGCCAAGTGATCCAGGTCAACATTAAATGGATTGTGTCTAGCTGTTCTCCCAAAGCCTCATGCAGTCATAGGTGGAGCTCTTTCCGTTGACCAGATACAAACATTTCCCTAAATCATAGTCACTTAGCCTGTCAACAACCCCATCCTACACACCACCCTTTTGAAACTGGCTTCAAAAGCCTTTCCTTTCTGCAGAGGAACTTACAGCCTTAAATAATAAGCTGTTCTACCTGGAAAAGCCAGTAAGCCCTACTACTATATACCTAAGCCCTCAAATCTGGCTAAACATGAAATATTTGCAAATCAGCAGGTAAAAGACTAATGCTAGATTTTCCTTGATGGAGGGCTCATTATTGTCATTTCCTATGAGCTGGGTATGGTGGTGCACACCTGTAATTCCAGCACCCAGGAGGCTGAAGCAGGAGAAGTCACATGAGTTCGAGGCCAGCCTGAACTACACAGTGAGACTCTTTCTCAAAAAAACAAAACAACAAATAGACCCACAATCCCTATAATGTTCTTCTAGAATGTGAGGGGTAGAAATTTTAGTGGCAAAGACCCTGACTCAATAAAACTTTGTCACATGCAATGCAACCAGAGCTACTCTTTGTTTTCTTTTTTTAAAGCCAGTCAAATTTAGCAGTGGGGGTGGTGGTGGTGGTTACTCTTTGTTTTCTAACCTAGCTACAAGACACTGGGTCTTTATGGAGCTGGAGGGGCCTGTTCCTGTCAATCTCAGTACATGTGAGTGGGATTATCTCTGTCCTTCCCACAGAATTCAGTTCCCTTATCCTGATCCAGCTCCCTTATAGTTTCCTGACATATATCTATGTCCAGCTTCCCTGTAAAGGTACATTTGGGTACATTAGACACATGGGATATATCTCTTGATTATCAATAAAAATAAAAATTAAAAAGCCAGGCATGGTGATACACACCAGCACTCGGGAAGCTGAAGCAGGAGGTTAAGTTTAAGACCATCCTGAGCTACAAAGTGAACTCAAGGCCAGTCTGAACTGCATAGTGAGATCCTGACTCAAAAAAAAAGTTAAAAAACTTTTAAAAGGCCAAAAGCCAGGCATGGTGGCACATGCCTGTTATTCCAGCACTCAGGAGGCTGAGGCAGGAGGCAAGTTGGAGGCCAGTTTGAACTACAAAATGAGTTCAAGGCCAGCCTGAACTGCATAGTGAAACCCTGTCTCAAAAAGACAAAAAAGGCCAATAAATAAATAAAAATCAAGCCAGGCTTGGCAGCACACCTCTGTAATCCCAGCTATGTGGCAGGCAGAGGCAAAAGGACACAAGTTTGAGACCAACCTGGGCAACTTAGTGAAACCCTGTCTCAAAATAAAACACAGTTGGTTGTGGTGGTGCATATTTGTAACCCCAGCCCTCAGGAGACTGAGGCAAAAAAGAGGATTGCCACAAATTCAAGGCCAATCTAAACTACATAGCAAGACCCTATCTTAAAAAAGAAAGAAAAAGAAAAAAGAAAAAATTGGCCTTGAAATATATAGCTCTGTGGTAGAGCTATAGTTACCTAAAACACTGTTATATAAAGCCCTGGATTCAAATCACCCATATCAAAAGACCAAAAAACCAAGTGAGAAAATCAAATGTGGCTGATGAAAAATGGTCTGTAGATCATACCAGGTGTAGTGATAGACATCTGTAACCCCAGCAATTTCGAAGGCTTGAAGCAAGATTGAAAGTTTGAGCCCTGCCTGGACAACTTAGCAGGACCCTTTCTTAAAACAAAAAAAATCAAAAAGGGTCAGGAATGTAGCTCAGTGGCAGAGTGTCTCTTGAATTCAATCCTTAGTACCTAGTACCCCTCCCCAAATGCAAGTGACCTGAATGCCACTACTACAAATCGATCTATTTAAAGTCTGGATCATAAAAGTAGTAAGCACTAAGGAGTAATAAAATCCAAAATGTGTAAATTTTGTTGTAAAAAAGAGAGGGAAAAAAAAAAAGAAAAAGAGCCCTAACGGATATAACAGCAAGTGTGTTTAGGGGTGTTAAATAGCTGACTATATCAATGTTTTTGGATCATTGAACACAGCTGTTTGCAGTCTCCCTGTTTGAATGTCCACCTTGTATTCTTTGATACTGTGATTTGAGGAACTATTTTCAAGATGATAATATGTAATCTACTAACAGGTGATTTCTTACTGTTATGTTTTTTTTTTTGTTTGTTTGTTTTGTTTTTTTGTAGTCCTGTATTACGTGTACCCTTACACCGCTTTGGTTTGTTTTGTGTTTTTCTCTTTTTCCTCTTAAATAAAAAAAAAAAAAATAAAGTCTGGATCATGGCAGAACTAGGCTGGGGGGATTGCTTCCTTTTAATCTTGCTTCCAGGAATGATAATTTTAATCAAGGTAGGAAATATTTTACCATAATCACTTATAACTACAAACTTCACATTATTAAACAGTGATCCCTAGATAAGTTAGAGGAGAACACAGTTCACATTTCAGTCAAACAGCAGGTATTATTATTTGATAATTAGCTTTTCCAAGCTGGACATGGTGGTACATGTCCATAATCCTTGTACTCTGGGAGGCTGAAGCAGAAGGATCATAAATTCAAGCCCAGCCTGAACAATTTAGTTATTTAGCGAGACCCTGTCAAGAAGGAAAGAAGTTGAAAAAGAAAAGAAAGAACCTTTTCCTATCTGAGATAAATATTTTTTAAAAATACTACTTTATGCCTAGCATGGTGGCACACATCTATAATCCCAACACTTAGGAGGCTGAGGCAGAAAGATTACTGTAAATTCAAGACCAGCTGGGGCTACATTGTGAGTTTAATGCCAGCCTGGAATACATAGCGAGACCCTGCCTCAAAAAAAAAAAAAACCAATAGATAAATAAATAAATGCGTCTTAACAGCCAAAAACTAGGAAAAAACTAAAAAAAAAAAACTAAAAAAAAAACCCAAGTCCAAATTGGATTAATAATCTATGGTAGGGGCTGGGGATTTAGCTCAGTGGCATAAGCACCTGCCTTGTAAACTCGTGGTTGTGTGTTTGATCCCCGGTACCAAAAAATAAGCAAATTTTTTTAAAAAAATCTATGGTTGGGGCTGAGGATGTGGCTCAGTGGTAGAGGGCCTTCATATCATACACGAGGCCTTGGGTTCAATCCTCAGTGCTATACCACAAAAAAACCAAAATAAAAACTAGTGTATTTATACAAAACATACAAAGAACTACTACTCAATAGTAAAAAAGAATAAATCACATGGATAAATGTATACATGAAATTTATATGTATGAATCTTAAAACCATTATGTTGAGCAAAACAAGGCAAGCATAAAAGAACTGAAGCAGGGCCAGGGATTTTA